GTACCGGGGATCAATGCTTCTCAAAACAGTCGACAACTCAACTACACCTCCTAGTTTCCAAGATATCCCCATCCACGAAGGCTCGATCTTCCTACTTCCCGCGAACACCCCGCACTGCCCCGTGCGCTTCAAGGACACTGTTGGTGTCGTGATGGAGCAGCCGCGGGCTAAGGATGCAGTCGACTCTATGAGATGGTATTGTAAGAGCTGCAAGGAGATCGTCTGGGAGAAGAAGTTCGTGTGTGTCGACCTGGGAACGCAGGTTAAGGCTGTGGTTGAGGAGTTTGCGGCCGACGAGGAAAAGCGCAAGTGTAAGGCTTGTGGAGAGACTGCGGCATCGAAGTATCAGGATGGGGAAATTATGCAGCCGCCGACTCATCCTGAATAGTACATATATATACATACTGATCAGGTCGATTGGAGGGTGAAGTTAGTGTGGCTGTAACTGTAATTTTCTTCGGTCACAAATGGTTATGAGTGACGAATTCAACTTTTTTTTGCTGCGATATGAATAGAAATATAAATAGAATAGAATGAGATGGATACCTCCCTCGAAATATCAAAGGGTGATTCAAGTCGAGATCAACCCGAGATACAACGGAACATGCACGGATAGAAAGCTGTTGAATACACCAACGAACGACATCTTATTATGACCAAAGGTATGGTATTTATTACAAGCACACAGCCTCGTGTTGCAAATTCTGTGCTTTCCTCCAGCCGAAAAAGCAAACACCCATTTATTAACCGGGGTAACCGACCCAACAATCATGTACTAGAAAAACACCCCATAGATGCATGCAGCAGACAACTGCGATCTTACCTGGTGCACCGAACCAATGCATATCCAGAACATTATTCATCAAACGGGCAGTCGATGCTCTCATGACCATCTCGCTCACAGAGAGCACACCATTTAGACTCATCGATGACTCCCGATGACTTACCGGCAATAGGAGCCATGGATGACCCCAGCCCGCCGATACCCTTCAGTCCTTCCATAACCACATCCCGGCCTGTCTTTAGTGCGGGGGGAGTATCGGAATGGATGGATGAGGCTTTGGTCTGGAAGGGCTCGGTCTTCTCAACTGGGTGTCCATCGGCAGGTTCATCGGCAGCATCATGCGCGGGTTTCTTCTGTCCACCAGTGTTCTGGCCAGAGCCGAACATGCTGGTGCAGTTCAGGATGTCGTGGCCGCCTGTTTCGCATATCTCACACCACATGGTATCCTCGTCAGAAGAGCGCTCGGACTCATGCATGGTCTCCAGTCGTGATTGAGAAGAGTTGGAGATACCACGGTGATGGCGGGGCTCCGAAGGGGCATCGTGCCAGTCGGTCGGGACCACCGTACGGTCAGAAAGGCGGTTGGGGTTAGGGTTGTTTGAGTGATTGAAGATATTGCTCGCAGACTGCGATGGCCTGTGTTGCTTTGGCGAAAGAGTGACAGTAGAGCTGCGGCGACGACCACCAGACTGCAGGTGCATTTCTTGAAGTTCACGCTCGAGCTCTTCGATCCGACTGTTTTTGCGGTTTGTAGTTTCTTCCACCTCTTGCAGTCGAGTCTCCAGCTGAGTAATGTGCTCCGGATTATGGTCATAATTCGCCAAGCCGTTCTGTCCCAAGCCCACCACGCTAGGGTTTCCGCGGCTCAATGAATGAATAATGGCCTTGAGCCCTCGGATCTCATCATCCTTCTGGTCCAATTCACTGCTGCTTCGGGGTCTGTCTCCGGCGGCGTGCGCATCCTTCAGGGCAGCGGCGGAGTGATCACGCTCCTTCTTCAGCTCCAACTTGGTGCGCTCAACTTCACCGCGGAGAAATTCGACTTCAGCCCTAGCCTCGGCCTCTCCACGCCGGGCGTCCTCAAGGCCTTCCTCTAACTCCGAGACTAGCTCTTCCAACTGCTTGAGCTGCTGCGCAACAACCTCAACATCTTCGCCGCGGTCCTGCAATTCCTTGTTCTGCTGTATAAGCTCGTCGAGACGCTGCTCGTAGACGCGTTCTGTTTCGGAGGCTGCGATCTCCAATGTGTCGAGGGTGCTTCTGAAGTCTGCACGGTGACCGTCGAATTCCGCCGTTAATTGGTTAATCCGCTCGTTGCGTTCGCGTAGCTGTGTGCGGACCGAATGACCCTCCGACCCCTCCATTTCCTCCAAGGTCTTCTGGAACTCGCTCAAAGTCCCAGACTGCTCTTCGAGCTGCTTATCTCGGTCCAGAAGCTCCTTCTCTAGACTCTTGATCTGATCCTTCAAGTCTTGAGTCTCCAACGAGAGCGGTCGGCGGGAGTCCGATGGCCGTCCATACGACGAAGCATCATCATCCACACTAAGTCGCGACGAGGGTCTATCCGACAGCCGAGAAGGTGCCTTGACGGGGCTACGCATGGCAGTGTTCAGCCCACTGGTCTTCGATGCCGCCGACGGTGTACGCAAGCCGGCCAGGCTTAGTTTCGGAGGGGGGACGGGGACGCGCGGGGATTCAGGTCGAGGGAGAGAGGGTCGTCGGACTCGAGCGCGGGGGGTAGTAAGAGCCGTACCGACAGATTTGCTGAAGTTGACAGGTCCCCCACGTGCAGGAGTGGCCGGTGTGGAGATATTCGAGGATCGCCTTGTGACATATTTGCTGTTGTTCATGGGGACGAATATGCCAGAACCCGGGATCGAGGTTACAAAGTATTTCCGGCCGTCGACATCGCCGCTGTTTTTGCCTCTTTGCGCATGTTCGGCGCTCAGTTCGACTCCTGCGAATCGTCCGGCCTTCCCCGCTACCGATCCCAGGTATTTGACCGTCCCATGCATGCCACCCGGGACATTCACCACGTCACCGACGTGTACATCATCGGGGTGTGCCATTGGGGAGGGATATGGGCGATATGAATATGATGATTAAAAAGAAAGCGAGACGCGGCTTTTTAAATAAGAGATCCGGGCAAATATCAATAGCCCCTGGAAGGGTTCAGAAGTCGAGGGCGTAGAGGGAGCGTTAAGAGAATGCAAGGATATTAGGTTGACGGCCCAACTTCCACCATGGCGATTGGGAAGTAAACAAAAGAGAGAGAGAAACAAACGAAAAGACAGACTCCAACCAGTTCGAGTGTAACCAGTTAGAATAAGAGAAAAGACAGTGATCGAGCAATCCAACGATATAACAAGAGAAAGGGGGGGAAGACAACAAATAAATGGACTCCACTCCACGTAATGCCAACCTTTTGACTTCAACTTCCACTCATCTCTGCATATACAGTCCTTACCTCTCTGCATCTCCAAGACACACATCTCTACGACAATCTTGTCCATTCTATAACTTCTGCTCATCTACCACCTACCACCGTGCCGGACGTCACCGGCCCCCTCTACCTCCTGCCGTCGCATTATACACCATGGCGCAGTACTTCTTCGACCTCCTGTACAACTTCACGGATTGCATGTGTTGCTTTCCCAGCTCTCCACAGCTAAAGATCAACAACCGGAGTTTCAAGCTCCTACGTTTATTGGGCGAGGTATGGATACCCAATAATGATAGCTGCAAGATGGTCTGAACTGACAACGCAACAGGGCGGATTTTCTTACGTCTACCTAGTCCAAGATAAATCGAGCTCCGAATTATTCGCGCTGAAAAAGATCCGCTGTCCATTCGGCCAGGAGTCCGTATCGCAAGCCCTGAAAGAAGTCGAAGCCTACAACCTCTTCAACTCCCAATCCAACATCATCCACTCAATCGACCACTGCGTGTCCACAGAATCTGGCTCGAAATTCAGATCCGATGGCGGAGATCCAGGCTCGAAGACGGTTTATATCTTACTCCCATACTACCAGCGCGGTAATCTCCAGGATGCCATAAATGCCAATCTGGTCAACCATACCAAGTTCCCAGAGAAGCGGCTGATGGTCTTGATACTCGGTGTTGCCGATGCGCTTCGCTCGATGCATCAGTATCGGGTGAAGAGCGGGTCGGCGTCTACGCGAAAGGCGAAGGGTGTTCGGAGAGAAGGCGAGGAGGCAGACGAGGGACGGGGCATGCAGATGAAACCGAAACGGAGGGCTAGCCATCGCATGGCTGAGGGTGAGGAGGATGATGAAAATGAGCCACTGATGGAGGACGAGGTCACCCGGAGTCAGGAAGGTGTCGAGGATGGGGACCTGCGCCCCTATGCGCACCGAGATGTCAAGCCTGGTGAGTAGCCATTTTGGTGGCAGATGTGGAAACTCCCGACGAGCTAACGGTCATTATAGGAAACATCATGATCGATGACAACGGCCAATCACCCATCCTGATGGATCTGGGCTCTTTGGCGCCCAGCCCCATTGCCATCACGTCGCGCTCCCTCGCCTTGGCGGTGCAGGATACCGCAGCAGAACACAGCACGATGCCATATCGCGCACCGGAGCTCTTCGATGTAAAGACAGGGTCGATCATTGATACCAAGGTTGACATCTGGTCGCTGGGTTGCACACTCTACGCCTGTCTCGTGGGCAAGAGTCCCTTCGAGGCGCGCAGTGAAGAGACCGGTGGGAGCTTGAGCATGTGCGTTCTTGGTGGTGACTGGCGATTCCCTGATGAGAAGTCTGGCGCTTCTAAGGGGAAAGCGAAGTCAGGCGAAAGCGAGGATGCATCCAAAAACGATGGCCCTGCGATAAGTGCTCCCGTCAAGGATATTGTTCGCAGATGTCTCACTGTTGAACCCTCGGAACGGCCCGACATTGATGAGCTTATCGAGCTCATGAAGGGTGTCATTGAGCAGATGCCTGAAGATGACGCGGGCCCGTCTCACTAAGATCCATTCGACCTGGTGTAATTCCTATTTTGTCTGCGTTCTCCTCCTTTGACCGGCAGGCTCCGTATGCGTGCGATTTCTTTAGCTGTACATTATAAATGCGAATTTGATTTCCTGAACCAGGGCTGATCACTGTCTACTTTTTGCTTTGAAGTTATCCGTGTTTATAAGTTACAACCCATAATTCCATTCGATTTCATCATCCTATCACTTGCTCCAGTCGTCATGGGTGAGGTCGAACACTCCGCAATGCTTCATGATGACGCAATGCCGGGCTTGTCCACGAATTCAAACCAAGCAGACCTCTCAACCTACCAACCCAAACCAGACGAAAAATACAGCAGAATGAGCGTTACCTTCAATGACCAGACACAGGGGACGGACGTGACGAAGACGTTCCCAGACCGGGTGAAGCAAAAAACATGTACCACAACCCCAATAACCCCATATTATCAAACTAACCAACTTGCCACGACAGTCCTAATATCCGGCCTCAAACGAGGCGATCTCGCTGCAACAACCGCAGACGCCCTTGCGCACGCCGGCGCAGGAACCATAATATACACGGGCCGCTCACAGTCGGAGCTCCAGCATGTGGTCGACCATATCAACCGGAAATACAAAACGGTCAAGATGATCTTTGTGACGGCCGATGCCGGCAGCCTGGCTTCGTTCCGCAAGGCAGCGCATACTATCAAGGAGCTGGGCGTGTCCATTGATGGCTTCATTGGATTTCCCGAGGTCATGGCTGTACCATGGGAGCTCACGGAGGACGGGCTCGAGTCTCATTTCCAGAGGAATTATCTGTGTTATTTCCTGCTGCTTAATCTGCTGTGTGATATTATGAAGCCCGGCTCGAGGGTTGTTTTGGTTACGTCTAGTTTGCGGACTGAGGCGCCTGCACCTTCGTGGGATGATTTGACGTTTGGGGTGAGTGTTGTTCTGTTTGAGTTATATGTTATAGCTTGCTGGTGGTAGATGCTGATTTGGGTAGAATGGAGAAAATTACCATCCTCTGGATGGATATTCGCAGTCGATGCTCGCAATCATCTTGTTTATCAAGTCTATTGCGAAGAAGTATAGCGGATCTGTCGCAGCCTTTTCTGCAAATCCAGGAAGTGAGTCAATTGTTGAATGTGTTTTCTGTTTCTCATTCTAATTGGATTCAGATACCAAAACCAACGTCCAGACGTACGTTGCATTTGATGAGATCAAATCCTGGCTGCAGCGGAAGAAAGAAGGTATGTCCTGATAGCGAATATCGGTGAAGGCCATTTGATTTGACAGGACTTCCTTTATCCAGCCGGCGAAGATATCCCGGTCCTTTTACAGCAAGCGCCGAAATCTCTTGGTCAGGGTAGCGCCTCGGTATTGCGCGGATTGCTTGATCCGGAGCTGGACGGTAAGAAGATAACGTGATAAACATGGTAGATATGTATGAAACGTACTGATTGACGTGAGTATATCAGTCCAATCCGGAGCCTTTCTCGACCATTGCCAGACACCCAAGTTACCGCATCTCGACTTCCCAGCGGGCGAAGAAAGTGCAGAGACGTTATGGAAACGAAGCTATGAACTGATTGAGACGTTTCTTCCCTGAAAGGGAGAGAGCATTAGGCCGAAATAGGAAGGCAATCTATTTGTATCAAAGTGTCAGTGCCAGCCCCGAACGGCCTTTTGATAAGCATCTCGGACTAAACACCGCCGGTCTATTCTCCGTCATTCGATTGGAGTGAGAAAGAGATGATTGGCTTAAAAGAGACCGTCTAATAACAAAGAAAAAAAGATATAAAACGCCAAGACCGAGTTTGCGGGGAAGATAGTCGGATAGTCGGAGAGTCGGAGAGTCAACTTCTTATCTTTTTTCCTTTTTTCCTCTCACCATCTTCATAGACATGCAATCAATATGTCGATCTTCCCATTTAATGACTCATGTCCCCTCTATCTTTCTCTCTTTTCCTCTCTTTCTCTGATTTAAACTGGAGATAACCGTCTCATACTTGACCTTGGTTTTTTCTCCGAACCACGTCCATACATTGCATAGGAAATAATACTGCTTCACCATGGCGCCAGTCATCGACAACACAGTCGTCCCTGGCACCGTGACTCTGGTGGACGTGGATCATGTCATGGAGACCCGGCACTTGGACCGCGGAGACCGTGACATTGTATTGATCCCTACCCCGTCAAATGACCCAGATGACCCCCTCAATTGGAGTCCGAGACGGAAGCTTTTGTCAACTGCTTGCGTGAGCATGTGAGTGCAGGTTATGACAGACTCTGTGGATCCTGTATCATATGATCGGATGTTGATACTTCATGGTTCTAGCTATACGATGTTCTCAGGAATTGCCTGCTCGGTCGTTTATTCAGTAATTAAGCCGCTTCATGAACAAACGGGTTTACCTGTGAGTACCCTGAACGAGGGAAGTGGGTACATGTTCTTGTTGGCTGGCTGGGGTTTGCTGTTTTGGCAGCCATTCGCTATGCAGTATGGCAAGCGGCCGACGTACATGTTATCATTGATGGGAATCTTGGTATCTTATCCATTCTTGGATATAAATGGAGAATTGTAGCTAACAAATCCAGGGTATGACGATGTGGGGGTAAGAGAAATATCAATGCCCACAATGAGATAAGACTAACGCCGGTCAGACCATACGCAAACACCAAGGGTCAATGGCTCGCACGAAATATCCTCTTAGGTTTCTTCACAGCACCCGTAGAAGCACTTCCTCAGATCTCCATCACGGACGTGGTACGTTAAACCCTGAGGAAAGAACCCCAACCACGCTCATACCGCAGCAGTACTTCACCCACGAGCGAGGAACATACATGGGTCTTTATGCATTCTTCCTAGCAGGAAGTAACTACCTCGCGCCGGTCATCTGCGGCTTTATCGCCCAGTACCAGGGCTGGCGGTGGGTATTCTACTACCCGAGTATCTTCGTCGGCTGCGCCATTACCTTCCTATTCTTTTTCTGCGAGGAAACAAACTATGTTCGAGTGCACTCCGATGAGCCTAGGACTGTCATACCCACGGGGTCTCCAAAATTCAGCTCGGATGGCGAAAAGGATAAATCCACGGCTGTTGACGACGAAGCTGCTACTGGGGTTAGTATCAGGTCGGGCTACACCAAGAAGTCATATGTGAAGAAATTGGCACTCTGGGGACCGAGCCAGGAGCAGAATACCTTGTTCCGACGATCCTGGCAGTGTCTTTACTACCTGTCTTGGCCGGTTATCTTCTATGCTGGGTATGGATACGATGTTTCCGGGTAATATACATTTTGACTAACATGCAAGCCAGCTTCTCTTACGGATCCTACCTTGTTTACTTCAACATCATGAATGGAACAGCCTCCATCATTCTTGGTGGAGAGCCATACAACTTCGGGTTGGTCCTGTTATCCTATTACCCGAGAAATAAACAGAGCAAGCTGACGAATCCTAGATCTTCCATGGTCGGCCTGAGTTATCTAGCGCCCATCACCGGTGTGATTCTGGGGTAAGATCTCCACTTCGCCCAATACTGCAACCGCAGCTGACAGAAGTAGATCTATTTACACTGGCCGATTCAGCGACTGGCTCACTGTCAAACTCGCCCGCCGGAACAACGGCGTCATGGAGGCAGAGCACCGTCTCTGGCCCTTCCTTGTTTGTTTGGTTCTTGTGCCTTCTTCCCTTATTCTATGGGGTGTTGGTGCTGCTCATGAGATCCACTGGTTTGGACTAATTGTTGGAATGTGCATTCTGGCCTTCACAAATACCAGTGGCATTGCGCTTAGCATCAACTACTTCATTGACAGCTACCGAGAGTTGAGTGGCATTGCAATGGCTAGTGTGATTCTAGTCCGGAATACCATGTCTTTTGCAATTGGCTATGGGTATGTTTTCTCGAGTTCTAGCGGAAGACAAGCACTAACTTTATCTAGTATCACGCCTTGGGTCGAGAACCTGGGATACCAGAACTGTTTCATCTCCGCTGCCTTTGTTGGCATGACGTGCGCTTCAGTCTTTCTCTTTATGATTAAATTTGGAAAGACATTCCGTGAACGATCTCGCGAAAAATACTGGAAGTTGGTCCAAGAGAACTGGGAGAAAGGCATGGGCAATTAGAATAGATGTACAGTTACATCTTGTACAAGCTTCAAATAAACCATTCCAGACAATCTAAGTACCATCTATTTCACCGGATCCTGTTCCTCCGCAAGGTGAATAGCACCTTCAGCATCATAAACAATCTCCCTGACCTTCACCGACCTCAAATGATCGACTCCCTCGGAAAGCTCACAGTCATGATAAAACAAGTACCACTTCCCCTGGAACTCGACAATCGAATGATGCGTCGTCCAACCAAGCACCGGATCCAGAATGCGTCCCCGGTACGTAAACGGACCCCAAGGCGAGTCTCCCGTCGCATAAGCCAAGAAATGCGTATCGCCAGTCGAGTAAGAGAAATAATACGTCCCCTTATACCAATGCACCCAAGCAGCCTCAAAGAACCTCCTCTCATGATCATCCGCCAGTAAAGGCTCCCCCGTCTCCGGCGCAAGAATAACAACCTCCTTAACCGACGACGCAAGCGAAAGCATATCATCCGACAACATCGCGACACGCGGACAAAGCGCCCTAACACCTTCACCAGTCGGCTCCTGGGGCCCAGACATACTCTCATCGAAGACAAGTCTCTTCTTTCGTCCGTCAACACCACCCTCATCCCCATCAACCCACTCCCCATCCTCCTCTCCATCCTCATCTTCCCCCCCAACCCAGCACTGTAGCTGTCCACCCCAGATCCCGCCAACGTAGAGATAAGCCTCGCCGCCCGCTTCTTCGTCAACGAAGACGGCAGGGTCGATGCTGTATGTACCCTGGATGTAATTATCCTGCGGGACGAAGGGTCCTTCTGGGGACGTTGAGACGGCTACGCCGATGCGGAAGATGCCTTTGTGATCGCGGGCTGGGAAAAAGAGGTAGAATTTGTTGTTTTTAGTTGCGGCATCTGGAGCCCAGAGTTGCTTTGAGACCCAGGGGATGTCTTTGTCGCGAAGGACGACGCCGTGGTCGGTTACGGGGCTGGTGATTGTGTCCATGGAGAGCACGTGGTAGTCGGCCATGTCGTATTGGTCGCCATTGTCGTTGAAGGCGATTGTTGTTTCGCGGTCGTGGCTGGGGTAGATGTAGAGTTTGTTGTTGAAGACGTGGGCGGAGGGATCAGCTGTGTAGATGTGGGAGACGAGAGGTTTGGACATTTTGGTGGTGGTGGTGGTGGTGGTGATGATAGTGAGGTTATAGATCTGAGTGTATAGATGAGATACAGAGGGGATGGAGGATGGAGGCTATTAATATTCGATTCTCTGCTATTTTACCATGCTACTATTACTCTATTATCCTCGTTATTCTCCATTTTCCCCGTTATTCCCCTCGTTATCCCATTATCCCACTATTATCCCTATTAGCCTGTGACTTTCTCTACTTCTTTAACCGACGGCTAAAATAAACGGCTCAATGTCCGTCTCGGGAAAGGAAATTAAGAGATCGGGGTACTATATAGTATTATCGAGGTATTTCATGTCTGTACTTTTCTATTTCAATCAAATGAATCACTTCAAATTCCACCGATGCGACTCCTCAGCATACGCCCTCTGCAATGCCTGCTGCCATTCCAGCTCCATCTGCCGGAGCACTTCAGCTTCACTCTCACCCATATTCTCCCCATTCCCGTTTGCATTCCCATCATCACCTTGTTCAACATCTTCCATATCCACATCCTCCTCCTCACACCCCTTCAACCCAAAAAACCGCCCCAATCTCTGTACCCTCGTAGGGAGATCAATAGTCTTCTCCTCCTCCGTGCCAATCCACGGGGTAATATGAACAGGATAATTAAATGTGGCGGGGACAGGCGGGTAGACTTGATGGAAATGGCGGGCAAGGTTATCGACCTGCTCCGAGGTCAGAAGATTGTAGGCCAGCATATTTGCTGGGAAGTCCGGGTGCTCGAGGCCCGTTTCGCTGTTGACGAGGGGCCAGAGTCGGCGGGAGAGGTGGCGTAGGAGGGGCAGGAAATGTGGGTGGAAATTGGGGCTCTCGTGGAATGTAGGGGATTCAGTTGGGAAGGATTCAGTGCGGTCTAGAGGTGTTATGATGGACGTGCTCATTGGGCTGAGAGGGTCTGCTAGGGTTGTGCTTGAGGTGGAGACCGAAAGGGTTCGTTCGGAGAGCCAGCTGATGCTGTGAGGGGAGCTGGGGGTTGTTGGGTCATTTTCCATTTTGAGCGAGTATAATGGTATTGATATAAGGGAATAACGCTTAAAGACTAACGAGAAGAGTACACTATGCAACTAGAATGCAGGAATTGAGGAAACATATATACGAAATGTATGCGATTGTCGAAACCCTCAAAGAACCATCGACAATGAGATGAAACATCCCGAAATAGCCTCTTCATTATAACACACAGACATCGTTCCGAGCTCTCTCCAATCACGGCGAGTTTCATACAGAACCCCTTGTCCCTTTGTTTCCAAGAAAAGAACAATAACCATGTTCATCATATCCATATACGTTTCATATTCAAGCTTAGCCCCATTCATTGGCTCAAATAGCCAACTCAAAGAGACTTATTGTCATCACAGCGACAGACTGCCCACTCCGCGTGACAGATCGGGTTCCTCTGACACGGCCGGGAGTCCCACGTACTTGTTAATCCAGTTCAAAACGGTCCGGTGCCACATGAGCGAGTTTTCAGGGTTCAGGACCCAATGATTCTCGTCAGGGAACGTCAGGAACGCACTGTCAATGCCACGCATCTGGAGCACATTAAACGCAGCTAGACCCTCAGCGATGGTCAGACGGTAATCCAACTCGTTGTGAATGATCAGATGAGGCGTTTGCCAGTGTTCCGTGAAGCGCGATGGATCCCACTTCGCCCAATTCTCGGGTACCTTCCAGATCGGCCCCTTCAGGTCATGTAGTGGGAAGTATTGCTCTTCGCTAGCCATCTGAGACGTCATGCTAAACACTCCATCGTGAGTAACTAACGCCTTGAACTTGCGCCCGAGCAAATTGCCCTGCATCCAGTTCATCATGTAGCCGCCATATGAAGCGCCCAGGGCAACCGCGCGCGTAATGTCGACGTAATCTAAGTGGTGCTCGATATAGTCGAATCCCCTGACCAGGTCCTCGTAGGGCCGACCCCCCCATTGTCCCTGGATTCCATCGGTGAAGGGCTGGCCGTAGCCAGTACTGCCTGTTGGGTTGGGTGTAATCACGACGTAACCCTGTTCGGCGAAAACAGCCGGGTTCCAGCGCGTGCTCCACTGATCATTCCAAGCGCCCTGGGGTCCACCGTGAATCAAATAAGCAAGCGGGTACTTGCTCCCAGGTTTGAAGTCAGACGGCTTCACAACCCACGCGTGGACAGGGTGATCTTCGGCCCCCTTGAACCAGATCTCATCGACCTGGGACGAGGACAAGCCGAATGCGTTGCCGCCTCGTCCGTTTGAGGATACCATTTGGACATCATCTGGGTGCGCTGGGTCAATGATGGTCCACAGGCTGTTATCGACCAGGCTGCTGCTAGAAACGAACAGCTTGGGGGATTTGGCAGCTGCGGGAACGGCGTCATTGACGTATCCCGATCTCGTCAGTCTCTTTAGAGAGTCGGGCTTGATTGTGTGCACATTCTCTAACGGCAGTTGGTAAAGAACTCCGCGGCCAACCTCCTCGACATGAAGCAACAGCGACTTGTCATCATGAGCAAACGATACGGCCGAGGGACTGAGATCCCAGAGTCCTTCGCCATCGTCCGACTGGAAAATTTCGATCATATCTCCATTCCACGGGTTAGGGACATACAGGATACGGTTCTTATCAGACTCATAGCCATCCTCGCGCATCGCCAGAACGGCAATAGAGCTACCATCTGAGCTAAGGACAGGAGACGACATCGCTCCCTGAAGACCCGTGACCTTGCAAATCTTTGGTTCAGACTCACTCATGCTAGTCCACGAGAACATGGGAGCATAGTAGCACGAGCAAGAGGTATGAGTCGCGGGGTTTAGGTTAGGATCTTTCGCAACAAAAACAATAGCCGACGGGCCAATATCAAAGTCCCCAGTACCACCAAAGGGTGGGATCGGCGACTCGACGCCCGCCAGTCCCGAGACCGCGATCAAGTTTGTGAGGCCTGAGATCGAGTACTTCCCAGCCTGTCGACGGGCCGGTGACAGAGGAGTCTGTTCCAGCAAGCCATAAAAGATCGCGTTCTTCTGGGGCTCAACATACGAGTCCCAGTGTCTGACAAAGAGAGACGTGTACAGTTTACCGGTCGTATGGGACTTCTTCGCATCGTGGGGATTGTACAGGGATCCGTCTGTATTAGCCTTGCCTGTCACGGCGAAGCCGACCTTTCCTGGTTCCAGACTGACCACCTTCAGGTCCGATACGGGGCCCGGGACGGTGCCTGCGGTGTATGTTTCATCGCTCTGACGGGCATCGCCGACGACGAAGCTTGTGTTGCCATTGCCCTTGGTCTTTAGCCAGACAATTTTGTCGCTGCCGTCCACCCACTGTGGGTTACTGGCGCCAGGGTCGTTGGTGATAAGGGCAGAGCGGCCGGAGGCGATATCGAAAACGCGGATTTCATTGGTCTTGGAATGAGACTCGAAGGAGTAGGACGTCTGCGTATAGACTGCTAGGGTGCCGGCCGCATTGGGGACAGCTGAGGACCGTCTGGGTGCTCCGAGCAGGACCCTAGAGGGTCGGTGTCAGTCCTGTGCTCTCAAATATGCTCGATGAAGATTCGTGTCCAATTGTCAACTATATCAACACTTACTCGGGAGTGAACTTCATGTTCCGAATTGCCATATCAGATCGTATGGGAGATAAGATAGGAAGCTCGGGGGAGCTTCCTCGGATTGAGCTTAAATAAAGGTATCAACAGGGTCTTGGGATGAACAAAATACGGAAAACACAACTGGGTATCCTATTGATGGTATTAAAGAGGGAAATATGGACGAGAAGAGGAGAGTTGGAGAAGAGGAGGTTGGGGAGCAACGTGATCATGCGGGGGTTGTGGCCCTGATCGGGTTAAGCGCCATGTACCTTGCAGGCATCGCCATATAGTGTTACATCGGAAAAAGCAGAGTAATATAGAACATGTTCTCATTTTGTATCAGGCTTCAGAAACATAACTATTATTACAAATTGTAAAGATTATGACATTTACTCTTCTTCCTCTTCACTCTCATCCTCGTCCATTCCCTCTGCTGCATTGACACTGAACGTAGGAGCCTGATCCACGCCAACATAGCTGTCGCTCATAAGGTAGAGCGTCAACTCATGATCTCCAGGAGTAGGGACCACGTACTCCAGGCGCAGCTCGAGTTTGCGACCGATGGTGACACGCTTGATAGCCAACAGGCTCTTGGTCTTCTCGTCACCAACAACCAACCACCAGTTCTCCATTTTCTGGCTGGGGTAGAATGGTGCGTGCACGGTAGCGTCGGGCTCTTCGTCTTCTTCGATGTCCCGTTCAATCTTGACCTTGAGGTATGCAGGTTCACCCGAAGTGATGGCCTCGGCATCCTCAACTTCGAAGTCGAGCTCGATGTTGGGATACCTCTCGTTGGTGAAAGCCGCAGCTTGTGCCAATTGCTTGTTGTCGAGGCCGAGGCGCTTGACCAAAGTAGCGTAGTCCTTGTTCTCCGATGGGTCCATGGCCTCCATGAATTCGAAGATATCATTGATCCTGTAGAAAGTGGGTTAGCAAATGTGTCTGGAGATCTTTCAGATGATACATACTTGTATTCATTGGCCACCTTGATCACATCAGGGGAGAAGTGGGGAATCTGCTTCAGAGGGCTGTCACGATCCCACATGGCCTGAACCACCATCTGGGACAATTCCATCGCGTTCATCGCGTTGAGATGACCCTCGGATGAGAGAACATCTACACAAGCGCTGAGCAGGTTAAGGACCTTGCGAACGATGTCTTCCTGATCCTTGGCAAGATCAAGAGGGAGCTGCATGCGGGAGAAGTGGGCCTGGAGGAGAACGAAGGCCTTGAAATGAGGAGAGTCGAAGGAAACCTCTGACATCTTAACCGGAACACGATCATACACGCGGCGAAGAATGTGATTCTCATGGCGACGCATCTGGATAGACTCGAACTCAGTCGCGGAGGTCACAATCTCCAGGATGCCCTTGAGCTTGGTCCGCGACGAGAGCGACAACAAGAAGGTCTGCATTGTGATAAACGAGATGTTGTAGTAAGCACCAATCATGGCAGCGTTCAAAGGCGAAACGCTGTCATCCTCTTCATCAACATCAATGATCTTTGCCTCTGACAACTCCTTCAATGTGTTCTCCACCAGCTCCGACAGGAATGTGCTGAGTCCCTCGTGGCTCACGTCGCTAAGACCATAGAAACTGGGGTTCGCAAGGAGACGGCGATAGAAATAGGTATATGTCATCCAATCAACCGCATCCTGGGTGGAGGAGATGGTCTTTGTGCTGGCTTCGGTCACAAAGGCATCGTGGAGGTAGACCTGCAGGTGACTCTCGACAGGCAAGGCCTCGTTCAAGAACTTCTTGTAGTAGTCGCGCTTCACTGCTGGCACCATAAGAACACCACGGCCAAGCTTGTCCTGACCGGGGCGGGAGGCTTTGCCGAACATTTGCAAGATATCGCTTATGGGGTAGTCGATGTAGCGATGCTCACGACCTTCGAAGAACTGAGTGTTCATAACGATGACCAAGTGAGCCGTGATATCCAGTTCCCAGCACACATCTCTCGAGGCCAACAGCACCTGGATCGCACCAATGCTGAATAGGTGCAAGACAATGCGCTTGTCAGTGGCATTTAGAGCTTCGTGGTAATAGCCAATACCATGGGACAGCGATGTGGCAAGGGTCTGCTCGTGGATACGCTCAAGCAAAGGAGCAAGCTCACTGACATCAGCGTTCAGGAAACGATCTTCGTCGTTATCGATGGCACATGCCGAGAGGAGATCCGCAGCGGTCGCACGGACCTGCTTGCGGCTTGGAACGAAGACCAGGGCAGGCTTATCTGGGGAGAGCTGCAAAATCGATTGATAGGCCGGGCGAGCCATCGCAAGCATGGCGGATGGGAAGTGAGGGATGCTGAATGATTGAAGGTGAAGCTCCAGAGGCACAGGGCGGGCATGCGGGCTGAAGTTGTAGATCGTGTGCTTGTTGGCACCAATCCACTCTCCGATGTCCCGAGCATTGGAAAGGGGCACACTAAGACCAACAATTCGCATTTCGTTTTCAGTCTGGAGAGCGATGTAGTGCATGCGAGACACAATCACTTCGTACACGTATCCACCGTAGCCGCCGAGCAAGTGAAGCTCGTCGGGGATGAACAGCTGCACTGTCTGGATGTTCTTACGTCGCTGCCACTGGCGAGACAACACGTCCCACTGAGTGGGGGTGGCAAGCACGAGATCAGCCTGTTCGAGAAGCTTCAAATCGGCTGTGGTTTCGCCCGTAAGCTTGACAATGGTCTTGCCTCCATCCAGTCCACCAAGGCGCTTCTGCCAGTCAGCTAGCCGGAGATCGACAAGCTCCTGGAAGGGGGCAATGTAGACTGCGCGACCGCTATCCTGTTTTGACCAGTGACGAAGCAAGGCCAACTCAGCGCAAACAGTCTTTCCACTTCCTGTGGGAGCACCGATGAAGATGTTGTCGTCGGTGTCGAATACTGACTTGAAGACCTGAGACTGTATCTTGTTGAAATGCTGCCAGTTAGGGTACAACGCTTGGTAGTCATCACGCTTCAGTGCCTTCACTGGTGCGCGCTGCATGTCGAGGAGAGGTGTATGGGGAGGGAAGCGCTCGGGGAGAATCAGCTTCTGGAAGGAGACGGCAATTTTCGTCTCAGAATGCATCCATCGGTCAGACACAAGCGAGATGAAGTAGTTGGGAGGCATTGGCTCAGTGACGGGAACGGTGAATTCGACGAGATGCTCATTCATCTCGGACTTGGCAAATTCACCTCGAAGCAAGAATCGATCGTGGAATAAGATCTCCTCTCCGTCGCAGTCCTCAACCAAAATCCAGAAATCTTGAGCATTGCCATGTATTTCGTCGTCCCAGACAAAGTTGGGGGAAATGGTCAACTCTACACGCAGCATGGATCGGGTGATGGGCTGCACCTGAGCTTGAACATCGAGTCGAGGGAACTTGGACACCAAGTCGCACACCACACGTCCGGCCTTGGGCATGCTCAGAAGCTCACCCATGCGGGGGGGATCCAAATCGAAATAACTGCCCCAAGGCACGTCAATGCGCTCCGCCTTCTGCAAAACATCTCGTGGGCAGTGGGGGAATTGACGAAGGGGTGACATCGTTGGCCACATGCGCTTCTCGGCCATTTTGCAGAGATCAAGCGCAGTCTTGGCCACTGAGGCCCAGCCTTTCTTCAGGCAAATCTCGAAAATCGCGCGGATGATACGTCCAGCAGATTGAGTGACATAGACCATGTCTGCCATCAGCGCAAGACCCTCAAGCTTGAGTCTGGAGATATAAGCCTGCAAAAGAACATTGATCTTGGCATGGGGCTCATCAATGGTTTCCTTGACAGGGACGGGCACACGGCCTAGCAGTTTTCCAAGCTCAAGCTTCTCATCCTGGCGGACCGGGATGTACTTGAACTCGTCACTCAGGGCAAAGATTCGGAACAATTCAATGGTAGTAATGGAAGGTTGGAGGTGTTGGGAGTAGGTGAGCATTGAGTTGTGACCGATGTAGTAGTGCGAAGAGATACGTCCAAGCTCAGTCGACTGCAGACGTCCAGTCTTCTTTTCATACTTGACGAGACCGGCCTTCTCAAGGACCGCAGCAGCGGAGTGAATAAGATCGACTCGTTTTTGCTCCAGGGCATCATCGTCCTGATAATCGGCGCCAACACTGTACAGGCCAGGTGATCGGAGCATCCGAACGTAAAGGTAAGTGTAGCCTAACCAATCCACACCTTCATCGCGGGTACGAACATTGCCAAGTACAATCTCAGCATTCAGGTTGTCCACCAATTTGCTCATCAGCTGCGACTCAATTGGAAGCTGTTGGTTCAAGAGCGAGAGATAGTATTGGATCTCAGCCTGCGACGTGATAATGATACCCTCACCGAATGTATCATATTGGGGTCGACCAGCTCGTCCCAACATTTGCAGAACATCTTGCGGGCTCAACTCGACCCAGGCACCCTTCTCGGGAGAGTAGACCTGGGTTCCCTTGATGATGACGGTATGGGCGGGAAGGTTGACACCCCAGGCCAATGTCGCTGTACAAACGAGGACCTGGATGCTTCCATCGGCGAAAAGTGCTTGGACTGAATCACGATCGGCAAGACTCAGACCAGCATGGTGAATACCCAGACCGTACGGCATGAGATCCTTCAGGCTAGCATCATCCACGGAGTCTGCTTCTTCGGAGAGAATGGCACGACTAGCAGCATCACTGCGCAGAATCTGTCCAATGGTCTCATTCTCAAGAGCCTTGTCTCTGATATACTTGGCAGTCTTGGCAGTCTCCTTTCGAGAATGGACGAAGATAAGCATTTGGTTTCGGTGTTGCCCGACCTGCTCCATGACCTTGGTATAGCAAATGTCGTTCATCGTCTTCAACTGCTTGATGGCCTTCTTTTCTGTGACACCGATGAATTCCTGCTTGAGGGGACAAGGACGGTAGCTGCCATCGAAATGGAACATGCCCTTGACAGGATCTGCGCGCAGAAAGGTTCCCACATCACGGTAGTTGGGAAGGGTGGCACTGAGACCCACGATTCGCACCGGCTCTCCAGTCTGCTCGGTTCTGCGAATCGTTCGACTGACAATGCTCTCAAGGACGGGACCACGTTCATCGTGGAGAAGGTGAATCTCGTCGATGACAACAAGGCGAACAAGGTTGGTGTAGCTGGTCTCGGTTGCCTTTCTAGTGATAACGTCGTACTTCTCAGGGGTGGTGACGATGATCTGGGTATCAGCAATTTGCTGCTTGGTAAGCTGACGATCACCTGTAAGCTCGGACACTCGGATACCATAAGGCTCCAGTCGCTTTCCAAGGTTGCCAACTTGTTCTTGGACTAAAGCCTTCAAGGGAGAGATGTATATAATCTTGAAGTCATCCAGCATAATCTCCCCCGTTTCAGGGTTGCGATTCTTCCCGATCTCTCGAAGGATCGTGAGCATAGCGACGTTCGTCTTTCCGGAACCCGTGGGAGCACAGACAAGCATATTTCCATCGTCATGGAACGCTGAAGGATAGCATCTTGTTTGCACACGGTTGAGTTCCTTTGAGGTCCCGAATCCAACACGGGCCCATTCCGGCAGCTCGGTGGTCGGGATATTCTTCTCTCCAGCCTCCTTCTTGGCCTTGGGTGGTGGCACATGGATCTCTTCGTATCCCTTGAATGCTCGCTTAGTTGAGCCCTGGGGAAGTTTAACGTTAGGATTGGTCATAAGATGGTTGCCTTGATGGAAGACCAAATTTTCCAAATTGATCGTTCTCTTGGGCTGAAGAATGCCACCCTCGCCACCTTCCGCGGGTTTCTGGTCGGTTGGGCCTGAAGGAACATCGACATCCATCAAGTCAAACTTCATCTTCTTTTCAGGCGGCGCTCCGAGTCCCTGGCCAGCTTCTTTGCCACGGATTTCATCGAGGATAGCACGTTGACCGGCTTCGACCATCTCAATCTCCAGGAGATTGCGCGCATTGGGATCCTCTGCGACTCTTCTCCAGCGGGTAACCCAGACAGTCTTGTCGCGGTTGGTGACTAGTTTAGCAACAAGATCGGGATGGTCATAGTCAAAGAGTTCCATGAGGTCGTTCTCAACATCGCGCAGAGGTTTTAATGTTCCATCTTCCTCCTTTCCGCCGAGGATTTGAAGTGCCTCATCTGTCTTTTCATGCTGGATATGAGCATCTGTGTATATAGCACCGATTTGACGCTGCAGCCAGTAAGCATCGATTTCACGAGCGGAGACCTTCAATCCGGCCTTTTCTGCGGCTTTATCAGTTCGGCCAAAACCTCCATCGATGACCATTTCATCTCCATCTTCGTCTTGGGCTGCTGCAGCATCTTCGGTTGCGAGTTGTTCTTGTTCATCCTCTTCTTCTTCGTCTGTGAGCTCGTCCTCGTCTCGAACTTCGTCCACGGTTCCCATGCGCTCGTCATCTTCATCTTCGTCGAAGACGACAGCGACACCCTGGCGTTCATCAAGTTCGCCACCTTCTTCATCAAGGCCGCCTTCCATCTCTTCCTCTTCGTCCTGGGCATCGTAATCTGTAATCTTTTTGCCTAGGTTCACAAGCTCGTTGAACTCTTTAGGGTTCATTGAGGTTCCTAGAAGATCATCAATCTCCTTCTTTTTATCAAAATCCTTCATATCTTCGTCCTTCAGTAGTTCCAATACAGCATCGGCAGCACTTCGAATGACTTCGTGGGGGACATCACCCAGCTGGCTTCCGGTAATTGTGAGAATAAAATCATAAGTGGCTCGTGTGGCGGGTGTGCGAGGACGATATTTCAACCCTTCGACGAAGGCATCGGCTGCTGAAAGGATTCCCTGGCCCCGTAGTTGTGCTGGTTGGCCGCGGTGGCGCTTTTTCTGTTCGCGTAAAAGCACATCTTCGCCCTCACCGATTGAGCCCCGCTCGAGAGCTGCCGGAGCTGCCTTTTTAGATTTGGGCGCGTCCTCACGCGCGACTCGTGCGCCCATCTCGCGGATCCCAATGCGACCCGCGAGGGACTCCGGGTCTCCAGTGGGTTCGTCATGGGTGCGACTGATAAAACGACGATCCGCCTGGAGAACCAGGTTGGACATCGCCGAGTACTTGTACTGCGAAATATTTTGGTCCGCCATCTTGGTGGTTGTGTGGCTGGATCAAGGGGAAAAAGATGAAAGAAAGAGTGAGCTGCGACAAGAATCTGCGGAGGGTCAAGATTCAGGCCGCGCCGAGACACAAGATGTCGGCGATTGATCAGTTTCAAATGGTCTCACAAATCTGGCTCATCCTCCTGCCGCAAGTAACGTCACTTATAAGGGAGAAATATCACCCAGGGTTGTAGATAGATGAAGTCAAGGAGAGTGCAGCTCGGGAAGATTTCGGTGGCGAAGGCGGAAGGAAGGGAGCTTGGATGGTTCTGCCACCCCAAACGGTTTGGAGCGCGTCGCCACAATGCGCCCTGGTCTGCCGATTTCTCATTTAATGCCAGTTTATATGAGGCCTCTGACGACCTTGATACGGACATCTTATCGTTGCCGTATACACCGGAGCATCTGTCACCATGCGCTTCGAACCTGCAGCCCTCGCGCGTCCACCGCCGCACCGAAAGTTTACATACGAGGCGCGAAAACTAAAGCGACAGTCAAGTTGAAAGACCTTCCTCAAGGTGTTTTGAAACTCGAGGCATACGATGATCGCGTGGATGAGGCTCCTCGTTACCCGACTGTGGTACAGGGGCACCGAAACAATATGCAGACGTTCAAGAATTGTGTTATCTTGACCCGAGTCGGGGGCTTCTATGAGGTACGATAATAGGCACTACATGGCTAGAGAACTCCATGCTAACGTTATATTTGTAGCTCTATTTTGAACAAGCAGAGGAGCTGGCGCCATTGCTCAACCTCAAACTCGCGACCAAAAGGACCAACGGCGGGCCGGTTCCGATGGCTGGCTTCCCCTTCTTCCAACTCGATCGATTTCTCAAAACTCTCGTCGGAGATCTCAATAAATATGTGGCTATCAGTGAAGAATTTGCCACCAATCCAGAAGGCAGGGCACGCGCAGGAGGCCTCATGTTTGATCGGAAGGTTGCTAGAATTATCACTCCTGGCACACTGATCGACGAGAAGTTCATTGATCCTTCCGAGCATAATTTCTTGTTGGCCATATACTTGGATGTCCCGTCTTTACAATCGCAGTTGAAGCAACATGCTGACAATAGTCTCCAATCATCGCATCAGCATATATTGTCCTCTGTGCCCCAACAAGTAGGATTGTCATGGCTTGACCTCTCAACTGGTGATTTCTTCACTCAGCTCACAACGACTCAAATGCTTCCATCTGCGATTGCCCGAATTGGAGCTCGTGAGATTCTGGTAGATCAGAACATACAAGATCTTATTGGGCATGAATTACAAATGCTTGTTGGACACGATCATCGCCTTGTCACCTTCTTCCAATACCCTGGATCATTCAAGCCAGTATCTGAATGGGGCACAATGTTAGAATCTCCGGTTCCTGAAAATACTTGCGCCTCATTCACACCGGAGGAAGTAGCAGCTGGGTACAGTCTGCTTGAGTACATTCGCGTGCAGTTGCAAGGATCGAATCTCAAGCTTCAGCCTCCAATTCGAAGACATTTGAATGAGTCAATGAGCATTGACCGTAACAGTCTGCGTGGTCTCGAGATTCTAGAAACAGCGAGAGACGGTTTTGGGAAAGGAAGTCTTCTGCATGCTGTGCGAAGGACTTCTACAAAAAGTGGTGCACGGCTTTTACGAGACCGACTGAGTATGCCCAAGCAAAATTTCGAACGTTCTTGTAGCTTTTACTAATACGTTAGACGCAGCCTCGCCATCTACATCCTTACAAGTCATCAATGAACGTCTGGACCTTGTCTCGGTGTTCATAGAACATGTGGAGCTCCGTGACCGCGTCATCCAACTTTTGAAGCGGAGCCATGATTCTCAACGCCTGGTTCAGAAATTCGCTTTTGGCAAAGGAGACCCAGATGACTTGATTTGTCTTTCCCGTGCCATCGAGGCCTCTAATGAAGTCAGACAGGTTCTTCTAGATCACAATAGGCTTTCGGTCTCATCCAGCACTTCAGATTTGAATCACAGTCTCACTATCCTGATCTCACGGCTTTTCCTCGATGGTCCTATCGCGCTAGCGGACCAAATCCTTGCGGCTATTGACGAAGAAGGCTTGCTACAAAAACAACGCATCGAGGATAGTACCGCCGCAGAGGCAGCCAGTCTGGCAGAAAAGGTTACTATGGATGAAGCCACATCCGGCGAGCTCGAAGCACTGCCGAAAAAGATCAGAGCGAAGAAGGGCGAGCGAACAGTTGTGGCTGATACAGACTCCGGCCCCCTTGATACCTGGATTATGAGGCGTGACGCAAGCAAAACTTTGAATGCACTCCACGCGGAACTAGAACGGTTGGGTGATGAAAAGACTTTCTTGACTCAACATCTCCGTGATTCGGTTGATTCATCAGCGTTGAGCCTTAAATGGACACCAGGGTTGGGTCACATCTGCCACGTTAAAGCGGCAAAGATATCCCAAAAATCTCTGGAAGACTTGGGTGTCACTCGAAATGTCTCATCGACCAAATCTACTAGGTCATTCTATCTACCAGCCTGGACAGAGCTAGGAGTCAAAATGGACCACGTCAAGATTCGGATCCGTCAAGAGGAGCAAACGATCTTTGAACGTCTGCGCCGTGAGGTGATACTGAACGTTGTCAAAATTCGCCGAAACGCAGCAGTTATGGATGAGTTGGACGTGGCGTGTTCATTTGCAACTCTCGCCCAGGAACAACAAATGGTACGGCCCATTCTCAACGATGGTACCTGTCATAAGATTGTCGGTGGAAGACATCCCACGGTCAAACTGGGTCTAGAAGAACAAGGACGATCATTCGTGAGCAATGATTGCTTCCTGGGTGATTCCGAGCGGATCTGGCTCATTACTGGCCCCAACATGGCAGGTAAAAGTACCTTTTTGCGCCAAAATGCTTTAATCACAATCCTCGCTCAAGTCGGATCTTTCGTACCCGCAGCTTATGCCGAGATCGGTATCGTCGATCAGATCTTCAGCCGAATTGGTGCAGCGGATGACCTCTTCCGTGATCAGTCGACGTTTATGGTGGAGATGTTGGAAACAGCTACTGTTCTCAAACAAGCCACTCCCAAGTCATTTGTGATTATGGATGAAGTGGGCCGAGGCACAACCCCGGAAGATGGTACAGCCGTTAGCTTTGCCTGTCTGCATCATTTACACAATCACAACCAGTCCCGAGTGCTGTTTGCTACTCATTTCCATGCCCTTGCGGATATGACAGCGGACTTTGAGAAATTGGCGAGATACTGCACGGATGTGAAAGATATGGCTTCAGGTGCCTTCTCTTTCGTCCACCGGCTACGGAAAGGCGTCAATCGCCAGTCTCATGCTCTGAAGGTCGCCCAACTGGCTGGTTTGCCCAAAGAGACCCTCGAGGTGGCTACTCGGGTCCGCCAGGAAATGAGGGATGCACTTCCACCACCTCGAGTTGCTGATGAAGATCAACCCTAGCCTCATCGTGCTTGAAGGTGAATGTTGTGGATAATATGTACTTCGAGGTACTATGTATGATATTTATGTACAATATTTCGGCTTCTCTTGTTAAAGATACCACCAAATCACTAAGCAAGGTTGGCAAATGCCTCCTCGCATCTATTCTCAATGCCAGCTGTCAGTGCCTTCGGCTTCTAACCTAAGAACCCGAACACTTGCGACTGTTTCATAGACAGGCATCTACAGGTCATAGCTTAGCCGACCACAGCCTCGGACCCTTCTCAACCCGACCAAGTTGACCCTTCCGACCAAGATCAACAACAACACCCTCCCCAAACGCAGCCTCCTGACAATCCTCATCCCCAACCCCATTAACAAACTGCACAACAACAAAATCAACCCTCCTACGGCCCAAAACCACCATAGGCGCATGCCACGTCCCAACACCATAAGTAACAGCCTGACCACCACGCGCCACAAACGCCTTAACATTGTTCAGATCCGGCGGGTCACGAACAGTGACCATCTCGCCGGCCTCATTCTTTGCCGTAGCAGTCTTCCCCTTCAAAGTGGGGGCAACAACTACCAGAAACAGCGGCTCTTCCTCGCCGTCCCCGACCTTCGAATGAGCTGATAGGTCGATTGGAATGAAAGTCTGATTCGTAAACGGGTGGCGCTCAAGGATCCGCACATCAAAGACATCCCTATCAGGAAGCTGGGGGCCGGTGCTGACAGTGCGCAAATTGCGCGGGAAACAGCAGAACATGGTCATGTGTGCCTCGGAGGGCTGCCTGCTTGGACAGGCATTGGTGTAGCAGTCGAGGAGCGGGGAGATGGGACTGTACTTGAGAGCGGAGTTTTGGTTCGCCAGGACCGGGATTGGGTTGTGTGGCGGTAGGGATGATGGTTGAGGGGCGATGTTTAATTCTCTTGGTAATGGGGAGACCACTGCTGTACCAAATTGTGCGAAGTTCTCCGGTGTAAGAGGTTCCGGAGTGAGCGTGACTGTCGGGTTGGCTGAGAGGATCGGCGCCATGGTGGGCTTTTAGGTGTCTCCGCGGTGTGTGGACGCGTGTTGGTCAATCGCTTGGTGTCCGCCACCTTCTAGCGTGTAGGTCTACAGCTCTACAAGAGAGAGGGAAATAAAAGAAGAGAAATTGGATTGGATGTGGTTTATGAAGCTAATGAGGAGATGTCGGCGTCCTCCGGTGATAAGATAAGCGGCCGGGACCGGGGAAGTATGGTATGGAGAATTGTTCGTTTTTATATTCATCTTATAGAGAATATTACTCCGAGAACTACATAAATGGCTGCTTGTGTTGCTCTTTTGGTTATTTTCGTGTCAATATGGACCAGGTGGCAAGCTCTTCAAGGCGTGTGGCCGCTTAGCTCTGCGCCCAAGCGCTATGAGAATACGCCAGTTTCTTATGATAAAATTAAAACTGGTCCCTGCACAGAACGGGAACGGGAACTTTCCGCAAGTTGGATCCAATATCCTGCACTGAAGTCCGTGCTGAGGACCTTTGGGATAGTACAATATTTTTGTGTTGATACTTAGATAGACATAATACGTGGG